TGTGTGTGTGTGTGTGTGTGTGTGTGTGTGTGTGTGTGTGTGTGTGTTGTTGTGGACTGACCTCCTTTTCTCTCCTCTCTGTCAGTCGGCCTCTGACTTCTAAATGGTCAGCAGCTCCAGGGCGAGGTGAGTCGAACACACTCGGACACACACGTGCGATCTCTCTCAAACACATAATCTCATGCTTACTCTCTCCTGTGGAAACACACACTCACACACACTGACAAACATCAGCACCCACTGAGCCATTTCCCCTCATTCTCATTTACATCTGCCTGTGTCCGTACAACCACATCCTGTCACGTTGTTTTCATGTTACTACACACATGTATGCACACACACACACACATACACACATGCATACATGTGTCTGGCTGTTTGTGTACTTCTGTATGGTATCAGTATCAGTATTGAGTAGTGTGGTTGCCTGCATGTGTTTTGTGATGTATCTATACCCTCATCACCTCCCATCCCTTCTCCAACACACTCCTCCTCCTCCTCCTGCTCCTGCTGTCCTATCAGTCCCTTCGGGTTCAAAGGGCGGGGCGTCGTCGGCCTCCCTGCAGCGATCTCGTAGCGATGTGGATGTTAACGCAGCAGCGGTCGCTAAGCACCGGAACGTCGGACAGACCAGGGCAGCAGGGCGCCTGCACCCTGGCTCCTACTCCTCACTGGGTAAGGGTCCTGTCAGTCCAGCTAGACGAGTAATCAGACAGGAGGAGTCTGAGGAGTCGTCTCAAGTCAGCTCAGAGGTAGTGCTTCTAAAGCGTCGGACAGGTCGAAGTGAACGTTATCCTCTATAAACGCTGGCCACATCTACAGACGGATGGATCCACACACTCCTCTTTCTCCTCTCCTCTCCTGCTGCCTCCTCATTGCCTGTTGATGTGTCCTGTACATGTTTTGGTATGAATATCGTCTGTGTGCATGTTCTGTTGTTGTCTCTCTCTGTCTTGATGTTGACCCCTGCATCTGCTCCCTTTTTACCAGATGCTCTGTAACTAATACAGACTGTGCTCCTCTCTTCTCTTGTGTCTCTTCTCTTGTTTTCCGTCTTTCATTCTGAATACTTTTTCGTTATTTTGTGTTTCATGTCACTGACACTTTCTGTTTTGATCTTCATTTTCCCTTTTTGGATTCCCTTTTGTGTCTCTTACTTTTATTAATCATTTGTATCAATCCTTTGTTTTTTGTTTCCATTTGTTTCTTCCCTTTTCTTTCTCCCACCCACACTCTCTCTCTCCCTCTCTTTCGCTCTCTTTCACTCTGCCACTAAAGATGATGCCTCTGATAAAACGGATGGTAAGATCATCTCACTCTGCTTCACCAGCAACAACCTACTTTATGCTTTTCTTTTTTCTTTTATTTCTCTTTTCCCTTTCCTCACCTCATTCCAGTCCAACAAATCCAGTCAGCTTCTTTTGTTGCAGCGTGTGGCCACAGCGCCCCCTGCTGTCAAACATACATTACAGCCTCATTTGTATCACCTTCCTACTCATCTCATCATGAATCAAATTAAATACACATCTTAAGATCATCTTCTGCTTTGCTACGGTTTAATCGTGTGTTTAATACAGAAAAAGGTCTGACCAGCAACACGTTCAGTTATTGAGGCTTTATTTATTTATTAGGATTAGCATGTGTAGGGGTCGTGCTGTTCAGATACTTTGACAACAAAATGCATTTTAGCATCTAACCAGAAGTTCAGAATTGCAGAGTAATTTACAGAGTATATCGAGGATGAACAGTACTATAATATAATATATATATATATATATATATATATATATATATATATATATATATATATATATATATATATATATAGAATGTAAAGGGAAGATATGAATACAGTATGAACAGTATGAAACGTGCAGGTGAAGTGTACTTTTTACAACCTGCTCCCTCTTTGTCTGTCTGTAGGGACCAGGTCAGACAATGGTAAGGTTGTGGTTAGGGGTGTGTGTGTGTTTTTGGGATGTTCTAGTTGAGGAAGCGGTCTCAATTTTGTTCAGTGTTTGTTGACATCTGCAGAGGAATAACCAGGAATCAATATTATTGAAGTTCTTGTAGGGGCAGCCTCAATTTATAAAAGCACAAATGTAAAATAAAATGTTTTTAGATAGTGAAAGTCAACATTGATGGTGCCGATGGTATTTTGGCTGAGCAAACGCATAAATTGCAGCTTTAAGTGGGTCGGATGACGCTCTGCCGTGGCTGAAGTGAATTATAGTTCTGAACTGTTGCAGTAATATCTCACAGTGACCCGCAAAGTGCCGCAAGAAGTTGGTTGATATCTGCATAAAATCACTTAATGCTGCACATTTTAACACATTTTTTAATCTGTCAGTTAAATGATACGACTGTACTGTAATAAAACACACCAATGCTGGTGTTAATATTGACATTTATTACCAAATGTATTAAAATCAGTATTTCATGGGTTGAAAATGGCTCAAATGACCATCTACTGCTTTAAATCAGCCCTGAACCTTTCTGATGTAGAGTACACCGTTTTGGACTCATCTATGCGATGAATCATCACCCCTCTCTCGCTCAGACACGGGGGTGAACTTACACTTAAAAGATAAATAAATATCCGAGTCATGACAAGTGATGACCTGCTGATCCACTGAAGCATCCCTGGTGTTTGTGTCTTGTGTGGCTGAGTGTTTAGTTTAGGTTCTGACGTTCGTTCAGCAGCTTCCAGCATTAGTGGCTTTTCGTCGGTCGTAGTGCTTCTTAGGTTCTGGGCTTCATTCAGCTGCAAACTAGATGTGTAGCGTGTGTGTGTGTGTGTGTGTGTGTGTGTGTGTGTGTGTGTGTGTGTTTTTTGTTTTTTGTCTTAACAGTATTTTTCCCTCCACATAATACAGGCCGTGTACGTACCAAGCAGCCCTTGTCCACCGCCAGCAGCGTGTCCAGCCAGGTGGACTCACGAGGACGCAGCCGCACTAAGATGGTCTCCCAGTCCCAACGTATGTACCCCTCCCACCCACACACATCATGACTTAAACTCAGCTGTGACTGGAACGTTCTGGAAGTCCACTTACCACACAGCAACAGAATTGGTGTGTGTGTGTGTGTATGAGCTTCTTTGAGAGTGTGTTTGTTGTAGAGTATTATTATTTGTTGCCTTCACGGTGACGATAAGCTCTATGTGAATGTTTTTGTGCCTTCAGGTTCCGACGAATCCGATTGCACACCAGGTATTCTGTTTGTGTGTCAGAGTCGGAGTGTGTGTGTGTGTGTGTGTGTGTGTGTGTGTGTGTGTGTGTGTGTG